CTCTCCAGCCCTTTGCCTGTATTTATGTGTATGGGTGGGTGCCAGATTCCTGGAACTGGAGACAAACTGTTGTGAGCTGTCATGTGCTGAAATTAAACCCAGGTCCTCCAGAAGAGCAGCCAGTGCTCTTAACTGCTAAGTCATCTCTCCAGCCCACAATATTTGTTTTTTAAGATTTTTTTTTCTTGAGACAAGGACTCCCTATGTAGTCTTGGGTGGCCTGGAACTCACTATGTAGACCAGGCTGGCTTCAAACTCAGAGATCCGCCTGCCTTTGCCTCTCAAGTGCTGGAATTAAAGGCATGTGCTTGACCAAAAGGTAACTTTTAATTTGCCACCTTCTGTAGTTTCATCTCTACATTTGAATTCATATCAGAAAGTTACTAACATTTAGGATATTTGCCATAAGCTCAGGTTTGAATCACCACATAATAAAACTCAGAAAGTAGGATTAGTTAACTTATGCCAGGATTTGTGCTCTACAATAAAAAGGAGGCCAACCTGGGCTATGCATAGTGAGAGCCAGTTGGGGATATGGCTTAGTAGAGTGGTTGCCTGGCACACATAAAAGCCCTGGGTTCCATTCCTAGCACTGCATAAAGATGAATGTGGGGCACACGCTAGCAATCCCAGTACTTGGGAGGTAGTGGAAGGAGAATCAGAAGTTCAAGGTCATGCTTGGCTACACCAGCCCAGCCTGTAGTATATGAGAGATCCTGTTTCAAAAATAAAAAAACAATTGGTGGAGTGATGGTGTCATAACCTTTAATCCCAAGCATTTGAGAGGCAAAGGCAGGCGGATCTCTGTGAGTTCAAGGCCAGCCTGGTCTACAAGAGCTAGTTCCAGGACAGGTTCCAAAACCACAGAGAAATCTTGTCTCGAAAACCCAAAAGAAAAAAATATTTACCCCTGTTATAGAATATAGTTTTAAGAAGTGTTACATTTGTTTATGCTGTGGAACATTTGTTTAATGATGCAGGGATATAGTGCATTCTTTTGTATTGATTTGTATAATTCTGTGAAGCTGTGATACTTTGCCTGCCTAAAACACCTGATGGTTTAATAAGAACTGAATGGCCAATAGCTAGGCAGGAAAAAGGATAGGAAAGGCTGTTGGGCAGGAAGAATAAATAGAAGGAAAAACTTATGGGGCAGGAGAGACAAACAAATGGAATAAAATGCTCCAATTTGAGGTTGGATGACCAGACTGGCCTTGAACTCATAGAGATCTGCTTGCCTCTACTTCCTAAGTGCTAGGATTGAATACATGTAGCACCATTCCCAGAAGAGGCAGGATTTTTAATTAGTTAACAACTGTTCTGTTTGAATAGCTAGATGGGATGCAGGTGCGGATACTGGACTAGTTGGTACATCTTTACGTTGAAACTAAAGAGCTAATCATGGAACAGTAGTTAGCAGGGACCATGGCTTGGGACCAGACCACAGAAGAAGGGGTGGAAATAACTCAATAAACATTTGAGTGTAAGTAAGGTTAATCAAGAAGGCAGTAGATTCCAGAGTAGGAAAACAGCCTGGACTTTGAATTCAGACTATGTAAGGGCATTGGTGTGAGAATTAAGAACAATATACCAGGCATGATGGTTCACACTTGCAATCCCAGCAGTCAAAATGTGAAGGCAGAAGAGCCACCATAGGGTCTGGAGAGATAGCTCAGCAGTTAAGAGCACTAGCTGATCTTCCAGAGGTCCCAAGTTCAATTCCCAGCAACCTCATGCTCACAGCCACCTGTTATGAGATCTGGTGCCCTCTTCTGGCCTGCAGACATACAGGCAGAACACTATATACATAATAAATAAGTTTTTTAAAAAAGGGAAAACTCAAGGCCAGTCTGAAAAAAGAAAAAAATAACTGCATAAGTTTAACAAGAAGTCCAAACCAGAGCTGGTTTAAGTACAAGCCTGCAGTGGAAGGATTTTAGAATAGTTAAATGGCTGTGTTAGTTTACTAGACCAGCTCTTTGCGTAAACAAATCTTGGCTAAGATTCAGAAGGAAGAGCAAGAAAGACTCTGAATAGGAACCAAAATGACACCGATGGTGAAATGACTTTAAAAGAGAGCCCTCGCCAGGCTGGCAGCACACGCCTTTAATCCCAGCGCTCGGGAGGCAGGGGCAGGCGGATCTCTGTGAGTTCGAGACCAGCCTACTCTACAGAGCTAGTTCCAGGACAGGCTCCAAAACTACAGAGAAACCCTGTCTTGAAAAAAAAAAAAAAAAGAAAAAAAAACCAAAGGGGGGGGGGAGAGAAAGGAGAGAGAGAGAGAGAGCCTGTGTTTGAGAACAGACTGGGAATGTTGATGCTTTAATGGTCTAGATTTCAAGGTCAAGTGTGAGTTTTTATTTGTTTTTAATTTTTTGATTTTATTTATCTGTATGGGTGTTTTGTCTGCATGGGTCTGTGCACCATGTGCATGCGCAGTGCCCATGTGGGTCAGAGGAGGGGGTCAGATAACTTGGAACTGGAGTTACAGGCATGTAGGTTCTGAGACTTGAACCTAGGCCCTCTGGAAGAGCAACCAGTGCTCTTAACCACTGAGCCATCTCTCCGACCCCGGATTTCCTTCTTGCCTCACAAGCTCTGTCAACCCCAGTGTCTAATTAAACTAGATTATTTAATGAAAGCCTGAGTTCAAGGCTATGTCAGAGTAGCAGTAGCTGTATAGTTAGTTAGCAAGACCTTTGCTCTTGCAACAAACCCAGGTTTGAGTCCCAGAACCCACATGGTGGTTCACAATCATCTGTAACTGTTGTTCCAGCGACTTTGATGCTCTCTTGTGACCTCCATTGGCACCGGTCACCCATGTGCAGACAAAACATTCATATACATAAAATTACAAATGAAAAACATAAACAAAAATTTTTAAATACTTCTTTAAAGAGATTTTATGAGGTGGGCAGTGATCGTGCATGCCTTTAGACCCAGCACTTGGGAGGCCGAGGCAGGCAGATCTCTGAGTTTGAGGCCAGCCTGGTCTACAAAGTAAGTTCCAGGACAACCAGGGCTACATAGAGAAACCATGTCTCAGAAAGCCAAAACCAAACCAAAATAAAAGAAAAATATTTTACTTTTGTAAATGTGTGTATGTCTATATATGTCTATGCCATGTGTGAGTGTCTGCAGAAGTCAGAAGGACTGACTTCTGACTGTCCACTGGAGAGAGAGGTTACAGGTGGTTATGAGCCAACTGATGTGGGTGCTGGGAACCAAACTTGGGTCCTCCGGAAGTGCAGCAAGGGCTTTTAACCTCTGAGCAGTCTTTCCAGCCTCCAAAGGAGCTTTGTGTAGAGTCTGATTCAAGGTCAGACCAGAGATATCTTCATAGTGCTAGAATTCACAAAGGCCCAGCTGGAGCAGAGGGTCAGGGGTGGTGAGGTATTAACCAGAGACCTAGATTCAAGATTGAGCCAAAGAATATTCATCCAGAATTTCAATACTTAATACTAAAAGGGCATTAATGGTGAAACAGTTTGGAGGAGTTCAGGATTAGAACCAAGGTCACGGAATAGATAACAGACACAAAGTGTGAGGCACGCCAAGAGGAACTGATTTTGCCTAAGGTTCAAGATCAGAGTAGTTATAGAGGAATAGAAAATAAATGCCAGTGGCGCAATAAAAACAATTTAAAAAAAGAAAGGCCATGGAGCAGTGGGGAGAAAAACAGAGAAAATAGAGGCCAGAGTTGGAGGGAAGATCTGAAAAGAATCAACAGGGGACTACTTTCCCAAGCTTCCAGAAGCACTGAGTATGGAAAAACTAAGAGGCTCGAGTTTTCAGGTTTTAGACCTGAAGACCACTGCTCATGAGTTAACCCAGCTCTGGATTCAGTGGTCTTGGAAAGATGTATTGAGAGTGGACCCACAGTGTCCCAAGTTGGAGTCTAGAATACCATGACACTGACGGGAACTGAAGCTAAAGGTAGAGGTCCTGATGGTGGAGGCATTAACAGAGGTCCAGGTCTCAGAGCAGGCCATACGGACATCAACAGTAGTAGAATGTAAAAGTATCTGATGACTGGAGAGATGGCTCACTGGCTATGAACACTAGCTGTTCTTTCAGAGGACCCAGGTTTGGTTCCCAGTACCAACACAGTGGCCTAGAAATGTGTCTGTGATTCCAGTTCCAGGAGATCTGACGACGTCTTCTGGCCTCTGTGGATACCAGATATTAATGGCACACATACATACATACAGGCAAAGCAACCATACACATAAAGTAAAAACTATTTTAAATTGAAACAAAAAATAATCTAAACTATCTGACTAGGCCTGGTGGTGCATGCCTGTAATCCAGCACTTGGGAGGCTGAAGCACAAAGACAGTCATTAGTTAGAGGTTAGTCTGGGCTACACAGAGACTATCTCAAAACAGTGTTTGAGTTTGAGGCCATAGGAGAAAGGAATCGGTGAAGGAAACAGTAAGAAATGCCCAGGAACAGGTGTATGCTTCAGGGGTATAACTTTTGCTAAGCATGCAGGTCTGGGATCCTTCCCTAGAAACAAAACTAAACAAATGCCCAGATCTGAGGCCAGACCAAAGACATAGTAATGGTGGAACAGTTGACAGAGGCCTGGGCTTAAGATTGGATCACATGATCATTTACTGTCAGTATAGAGGTTGAAATGAATAACATTAAGGGAACTGATGGTACAATAATAGAGTTCCGGATATATGGTTAATATTGATAATAATCAGAGCACAAAATTAACAGGGGTCCATATTCAAGTTCAGAGTCAGACCAGTAGACAATTAGTGGTAGCTCAGGTTTCAGATTTGATAATTAAAGAAATGCTCGGCTCCAGGCTTAGCCCCGAGTTGCTCTTGCTAATGTAGCAGTTGACAAACACCCAGGGTCAAAATCAGACAAAGGGTGTAGACCAGGACTAGATCTGAAAAGAAAGTAAAGCAGCATTGATGATGGGATGATGAACAGAATTCTGATGTCAAGCCCGAGGCACAGAGACAAATGAAGAGAGGCCCAAGTTTGAGCAATAACATTATTTTATTCTTCCTTGTTTACAGTGCTTAGTTTCCAAGTGGAATGTCAACTCTGCCACCTCAAAAATTTTACAAGGAGGAAACCCCCAAAATCATGCAAACAAAATTCATCATTAATCACCCGGAAACCAGACTCATTAAAGGGAATGAAGAACATGAAGAAACAGAAGTGGAGAAAACTGGTATTTCCCCCAATTATCTTGCTACCTATAGAGCTTGGTTGAAGCCGTGAATCTGTCTGGTACAGGAAAGAGTTAGCACAGTTCTGAACTGCTAGTCTTGGGAGGGTCCCTTTAAAGATCAGCATCTAATTGGTGTCTGCTACACTTCCCTGTATCTTTCAACTGTACTGTACAGTCCTCATAGGAAATCACTAACCCTGAAGCTGGATTAGGAATGTTGGCACACTTACACGACTTTGACACAACATGGCCAGTCCAGCTCACTTAGATATCCTTATCTCATAACCATTTACCTAAGATCTGTCTGATGGAGCCAGACGTGCTTTTGGCTACAAGTGATCACACTAATAAACAGATTAAACAAACAAGGCATTATCTCCTTCCATCAAAATCAAAGATCTGCTGCTAGTTCCACAGCTCAGCAACACTGTGCTACTAGGTTGGTGACTGAGGTCCCAAGATGTTAGCCGCAGTTCCTCCTGATGCAAAAGTAGCAGCATATGAATCTGGGAGGATGAGCTAGCTCTAAGAGCCCCTAGTGATTCTTCAAACTGAAAGTTCTTCATGATTCTAATCATGGACAATAAGTCTGGAACTTATTTCCTTGCTAATACCCAATATTGGAGATTAGCATTTGGTCTCTGACCTGGTCCAGGGCTTAAATTGGGGCCCTGGAGGGACATGGGAAGAGATAGGGGTGAACTTACAGATTTTCTATTTCTTCCTCACCACAGCAGGGGCTGTAGCTCAGCCCGAGTCCATGGCTGCCTGCGTGCCAACCTAGAACTCAAAGAACTCAACACTTCTACTCCCTGTTTGTGGGCCACATATAAGTGTGAGGTCCACCCACACAGAAGCTGTCATCTTGGGAAGTTTTACAACCTAATCTGATGAAGCCGCTGGGGTTGAATTCAACATCCCTCTCCTAATTTCTCTATGGCCATCTGATTCCTCACTCCAACCTGCCTCACTCAGGATCAGGAAAAGTCAAGCTCCTCACCACGGTCCAAGAAGCCCTAAAGCCCTGTCTAACGTCACCTATCACACTCGGCTTGGTCATCCTCTGACAACTCCAGTCTCGGTGCCTCTTTCTGATGAGGATATTCTGTTACCTCCCTCATTTCATTCAGATCTTTAAAACACCATCCTGTCAGGAACATTTTTCCTGATGGCATTGCTGAAAGAAGCTCCCACTCCTCCCGTTCCTGCAACCTCATCTCCTTCCCTCCCTTTGTTTTTCTTCACGCCACTCATCTTTAACTATCCTCTTTTATACAGATGCTTCTTGATGAATCTGTCTTAATTGAAAATGCATTACCATGCCTAACCTACCAAACACCCTAGCTTAGCCCACCTACCTTCAATGCGCTCAGAACACTGACATTATTCTACAAGTAGGCAAACTTACCTAATGTAAAGTCTAATTTATAACAAAATATTGACTAGCTCATGTAATTTACTGAACACCACACTGAAAGTAGAAAACAAGACTGGGTGTATGTGTGTGATTCTGTAGCACTGTAAGATCAAAAAGTTGAAAAATTATAAAGCAAATTATACTCTGAGGAATGGCTGTACTTCATCTACCAAATGCTTGCCTCTCCTAGGATGCAAGCCCACAAGGGCAGGATTTCTGTTGGTTGAGGCCACAGCAGTATCCTTCCCTTTCAGAACAGTTCCTGACATCACAGTTGGTACTCTCATTCCTGTCTACTGACTGCACAACTACATGACACATCACAGCAGATACTCAGGGCTTGTTGAATGGATGAACACATTACTGCACAACTGAGGAAGCCGTTCCCAATCCACCGGAGGGCTCAGTACTCCCTAGTGCCTCCTTGTGGGAGACCTGGGAGTTGCCCCTCAACACAACCACAGAAATTTTATTTACAGCACAAGACTAGAGAGGAGGGAACAGTGAGCTGTGCAGGGCTGGCAGAACCCTACTTTTGCTCTCGTCTCCAGACAATGACCATGCCACTGGCGTCACTGGAAGCCAGCAGACTCTCGTCGCAGTTGAAGCTGACGTCAAGCACGGGTGCACTGTGGCCCTGCAGCTTGTTGACAGCAGCTTTGGCCGCCCGCTCCACATCAAAGAAGTGAACGCACATATCCTCACTGCCTGTCACTGTCCAGATGAGAGGGAGAGAGCATCAGAAGGCTACTGTGGTGTCCCCAGTAGGAGGGCCTTGAGGTTCTATGAGGTGTGAGGGCCTCATGTAGTTTTGGGTAGTCTAAAAGGAACTACCTATTAGTCTAAATGGGAGTTCATCTGCCTCCTTTGCTTCTGTGGGTAGTATGTGAGGTTTTAGGAAGTGTGGGGTCTGTGTCTCAGCTATGAAGATCCCAAGCTGTCTGTGGCTCCACGTCTAAAGTGTTTAGGTATGAGGCCATTAGGGCACAAGACCCAGGAAGTCATGGCATCAGGATGTCATGATGATGGAGCCAGGCTGGCAGCGACACTGGTCTCTGATTCTTCCCAGTTACCCAGGTCCCCTGCTCCTGAGCACTCACCCACACAGGCCCCCTGGCGGAAGGACATGAGGGGGCAGAAGATACTGCGCACAGGATGTGAGCTCTGCTCAATGGGGAAGCTTCTCTTCAATTGCAGGGTACCTTCATTGTCCACCACTCTGAAGAGAAGGCAAAAGAAAGAGTCAGGGCACAGCCTAAGCTCCAGGAGATGACTACTGGTGGGCAGTTTATGTTCTGAATCCTGTATTTGAGATATTTACAATGTTCATGAATTATTTTTGCATTTGGAGACAGAGTCTTACTATGTTGGACAAGCCATCTCTAAACTCAAGCATTCAAGTGATCCCCCTGCTTCAGCCCTTAGAGTTGCTGGCACCATAGGTGTCTATCATCACCCCTAGCATTTTTTTCATTTTATGTATATGGGTATTCTGCCTGCATGTATGTGTGTGCACTGTGAATGTATAGTACTGGAGCAGACCGGAAGAAGGTGCTGGATCCCCTGGAACTGGAATTACAGACAGTTGTGAATGCTGAGAACTGAACCTCAGTCATCTATAAGATCAACATCTGATAATGCTGCTGAGCCATCTCCCAGCCCCTTGGAGTTTTTTTTTCTTTGTTTTTTTTTTTTTTTTTTTTGAGACAGGCTTTCTCTGTAGCTTTGGTTCCTGTCCTGGAACTAGCTCTGTAGACCAGGCTGGCCTCGAACTCACAGAGGTCCGACTGCCTCTGCCTCCCGAGTGCTGGGATTAAAGGCGTGCACCACCATGCCTAGTAGGGCATGAGTTTATGTCCAACTTTAAAAAAGCGTCATTTTTGAAAGATGGGTGGGAAGAATGAATTCTGTTCCCAAATCAAAATAACAACATAATATAGGTTGTGGGTGAATCTCAGTGGTAGAGTTTTATTAGCATGTACAAAGTTCTGGATTCAATTCCCAGCACCAAATGAAGAAAAAGAAAGGGAACTGGAGAGAGGACTCAAGTGGGAAAAGACATTTGCTGCCAGGTCTGACAACTTGAGTTTGATTCCTGGAACCTGCATGGAAGGACAGAACAGGCTTTCACATGCTGTCCTCTGACCTCCATATATGCTCCATAATATGTGAGCACTCACATACACAGACAAATAAATAAATGTGAAAAAATTCAAAACAAAGAGCTAGTATTTTTTCTTTAATTATAGTATTGGGAGTGGAATCCATAGTCTCATACATGCTAGGCTAGGCAAGTGCTCTACCACTGAGCCACTTTCGCAGTCCTTTATGTATTTTGTCTTAGTTTGCTTAACTATACAATGGAGACAATAACAGTAACTACTTCTCAGACTGTTGTGAGGATTAAATACGGTGATATGTATGGAGTGCCTTGAACAGGGTCTGGCCATAGCAATGTTCATGTAGGGGCTTGTTACTGTTATTCCTATTTATGTTGCTATTGATATGATTATGTTGTACACTATGTACATGTATGTACACTATGGCCATGTATCACCATACTATGTATTATGTGTGTGTGTCTGTTTCTGGGGATAGACAAGCACTCTGCCACTAAGCTACGTCCCCACCTCTACTCTCATCATATTATGAGGTCAGAGCCCCAGCCTTGGTGAAATGAATGTGCTGCCTTGCTCCTCCACTCCGATGGAAGGATGGGCCCTGCAGGCCCAGATGGCCCCAGTTGGGGAGGAACCCACCTGTAGAGCAGCAGTTTGTTGAGGCAGGCATTGATGAGCAGTGAGGGGTCCCGTGCTTCCCGGCTGACCCAGGATCGGGCAGAGATGCTGGTGACAGGGCTGCCCTCGTGCACCACTAGTCGCTTGGCTTTGGTCAGCTTCCCTGAATCAGTGGAGGCAAAGGTGAGGACAAGGACCAAGTCCATGGAGAATACAAAAAAGGGCACCAAAACATAGGTCTGTGGCCTGCCTACCTGTGGCCATGTCAAAGAGAAAGGAGAAGACACTACCGCGGTCATCACCTGCCCAGAGAAGCCGGCCAGGGGCATCAAAGGACAGGGCAAGGACACGGCCTGTCAGTTTGCTGGAGCCACCCTTCACTTTCTTGCCTGTGGAGATGTTCATGACATGCACATTGTGCTTGGCATTCCCCACCTGTGAGTGGAATATATACACCATCATTCTGACCCATCTAGTCCTTCCGTGAGTTTAAGACAGTGGGACTGTGGCAGGCACACTGGAAGGTGACCCAGGCCTAACTCCTACTTCCTAGCTAACCCCTCAATATGTCCACAATAGGCCAGTTGCTCATGAGACGAAGGTAGTCTCAGAGCCAAAATGCTGCCCTTTGGCCAGTCTGAAAATTTGGGCTTATAATACCCTTCCATCTTTTCCTTGCACCCTGTCCTGCTTCCTCTTGGAGCCCATAAGCTGCTACCATTGAAATGAGCCAGAGAACCCCAAGCACTAGCTCACTCATAGCCTGCTGTTACCCTATATCGCAACTCCCTACCCCCAGGCCATGCCAGACTTTCCATGTCCTTCCTCTGCCCTCTGCCCAGTCTGTCCTGGAGTCTGACCACAGTAGGGCTGCTCCTGATAGATTAGATGAGTGTTCAGCCCCATCATCCTGCTCCCTAGCAGCAGCTTCTGTAGACAGAAAACTGTAAGACTGTGGTGACAAGACCCTAGGAATCCCAGGGCCATGACCCCCCCCCCCCCCCCCCCCCCCCCCCCCCCCCCCCCCCCCCCCCCCCGCCTAGCCCAGAAGTCTATCTACTACAGCAAGGCCTTCCCTGACCATGAACTATGCTTTTGTTGGTCTGTTTCCCTTTGAGTCTGACCACAGGACTGCTGTGATAGGACTTGGGGGTATTAAACTTTATACTCTGGTGCCCCCAAACAGTTCTCCAGACCCAGCATGCCCGCAAGTGTCCTGGAGCCTGACCACAGTGAGGTTGTTGTTGACGGGCTGGAAGGTGCAGCACAGCAGTTCAGCGCCATCAGGGTCAGGGATCTCACGGATGCAGCGGCCGTCCTCGGAGGCCCAGATGCGCATGGTGGCATCGAGGGAGGTGGACACGAGGATGTCATTGGAGAGGGACCAGGCGAAGTCAGAGACACCACGCGTGTGGCCCCGTAGTACATGGAGCACAGTGGGTGGGGCAGGCACCAGCTGGCACAGTGAGATGCTGCCGTCCAGTGAACAGCAGGCCAAGCGGTGTCGGTCATCATTGGCGAAGCGCACCCTTGGGACTGCAAATGCCAAGGAGCCATTTGAGGGAGTCAGCATACTCAGTGAGCACAAGGAATGGTAGCTCCACAAAAGGCTTTCCTTGGCCGTCAAAGGCAGTTGTAAACCTTAGAACACCTACTACCAACATGCTCTCTAAATCTTAATGGCACTTTGAACAATGCAAAAAAGCTCACACTGCATTACTGAGTACTTTACAATAATCAAGCTCTCATGGGTTTGAAAACCTTTACAATGTAGTCCACTATGCCCTCTGCAAGGAAGTTATCATCAGCAAAGGCTCTGAACTCTTCCAAGTGACTCAAGAGCTCAGGCAGTCTGTTAAAGAGGGCTCTCTTGAGTTTCTGTGGCTCTCTTTGCAGTACCTAATATAACAACTTTGCAGAGCACTTTGCAGAGGGCTTTTGCATTTGCTAATGGTTTTATGAGAGGTAATTTTTCCTTCTGAGGTATGGTGCCAGGTGCCTTGGGTAGTAGCTGTTCGAACAAATGTTTGGTTTGGTCCCACCACCCATTAGCTTACCTGCCTCATCCACGTGCTGGTCAAAAACATGGTACATGCCTGCAAAGGCATAGTTTTCACTCAACGATGTGTCCCCAGCCATGGCCCGGCTTGCCTCTGCCACCGATGTGGGTACCACACTGCCGGGAGGCCTGAGCCCCAACAGGAAGTAGGGGGCGATAGGAGGCAGGTGTGGGTGTTTAGACTGCCATATCCCAGGGCCCCTCTCTCCCTCAGGAACCTCCACCCTCTGCCTGCCTCTGATATGTACCTGTCCTCATAGACTGCACGATTCATTTGTGCCTGCAGCTGATAGGAGCCTCGGCTGACAGATCGGCGGTGTCCTCGGGCCCCCAGGGCTCGAGGGTCATCTTCAAAGTCCTGCAATCAAGACAGGGTCAGGGATGGTGCATACCTCTAATTTCAGCGCGTGGGAAACTGAGGCAGAAAGATCACTGAGCTCAAGGCCTGCCTTGGCTACATGGTGAATCTGAGGCCAGCCTGGGCTACATGGTGAGATCCTGTCTCAAAAAGAAGAGAAATTAGTCTCTGAGAACCACCGATGTCTGGAGCCTTCAAAATATGACCAGACCTGATCCCTTCTCACCACACATGGCACCTGCCACCACTATCACTGCTCACTTGCTTCAAAAGTTTCTTCACGAGCACCTGTTTCTGTCCTTGCCCTGCTCAACACATCCTTAGTACAGACATGTTTTCCGCACAAAGAATAACTATTTTTCCCCAGGAAACCACTTGAATTAGTCTCTCACTTCAGTCAGGTTTCACTGTTACCTCCTCAGAGAAGTCTTCCCTATTAAACATAGCTTCCTCCATTAGCTCAAAGTAGTGACTTATTTATTTATCTATTTATTACATATACAGTGTTCTGTTTGCATATATACTGATGCATATTGCAAGTGCAGCATCAGAACTCATTATAGATGGTTGTGAGCCACCATGTGGTTGCTGGGAATTGAACTCAGGACCTCTGGAAGTCAGTGCTCTTAACCTCTGAGCCATTTCTCCAGCCTGTGGCTTTTCACATTCTTCTTTGCTGTGTTGGGAATAGAACCATCAGCCTCAGGCATACTAGACAAGCCCTCTATCACTGAACTACATCCCTGCACCAAACTCTCTTTCCTAAGTCCATTTTATGTGATTGTCATAGCATTCCCTGCTATACCATGGTAATTATCAACGCATTAATCTGACTTGCTTCGTGTTTTTCTAATTCACTACCTGTCTATCATGCTCATTTTTTTATTTTTTAAAATTATTTAAGTTTTATTTATTTATTTTGCATACAACATTCTGCCTCCATGTATGCCTGCATGCCAGAAGAGGGCACCAGATCTCATTATAGATGGCTGTGCGCCACCAAGTGGTTGCTGGGAATTGAACTCTGGACAAGCAGCCAGAGCTCTTAACCTCTGAGCCATCTCTCCAGCCCCCTTATGCTTATTGACTTAGTTCCTATATTATCTTTTTTTTTTTTTTTTTTTTGGTTTTTCGAGACAGGGTTTCTCTGTGGCTTTGGAGCCTGTCCTGGAACTAGCTCTGTAGACCAGGCTGGTCTCGAACTCACAGAGATCCACCTGCCTCTGCCTCCCGAGTGCTGGGATTAAAGGCGTGCGCCACCATCGCCCGGCTCCTATATTATCTTTTAGTCCTCTACGGACAATGGAACTTTTGTACATCACCGTGTTTGACAAAAGGCCGTGGTAACTATGGATGTCGAGGAGATATGTGGCAGGTGGTGCAGCCAGGAGCTCACCTCCATTCGGTCAAGGGTAGTGCGGCTGCTGCGGATAATGCTGTTGCTATAGGCACGAGCACTGCCTGGCTCAGAGAGTGGCCCGTAGCGCTGGCCCAATAGCTGGCCCCGTAGCCTCAGGTACTGCCGACGCAGTGCTGGGGGGTGCCCAGCCTTGGCATTCTCCCGCAGCAGCTGGCTGCGCCGGCGGATATACTGGGTCCGAAACTGTGGAAACGTTGGTGTGCGGTAGGCGTTGTACCTGTAGGGTCCAGGAGGCAGGGCAGGCAGCAGGCACAGGACAGAGGGAATAAATCAGCTCAAGGCAATGAGGTGTTAGGCAGTGATTGGGATGGTAAGAGTGATCGTACTGTGATGGGGGCGATTCTGATTAATAACGGATATGATGAAAAGGTCAATCTGGAGATAATATAGTCAATCTGCAGCTCTGCTGTGGTCAGTCGGAGCCAACTATATTATCAGTCTAGCATGATGACAAACGTCAGATTGGCAATGTACAGCAATGGAGGTTAGGGTCATGTAGTATGGGGTAGCAATTGGGTAATAATAGTAGGGTAGTGGTATCAAGAAAAGTTGGGGAAGAGGACAGGCAATAAGAGCTAGATAGGAAGTCACCTGTCTGACTTCCACTACCCACGCGAAAAGTCTCTTTGCGCATGCCCGTATCTAACAGCATTTCCCAGCATGCTCTTTAGAACCTTCTCTGGCCGGGCCACTTCACCACGGGAATCAGACACCAAGCTAACTGCGCATGCTCACGCAGCCGCACCAGCCAAGTTCTCCGCCCAGCCTCACTGATCGCCATTGCTCATGCACCACAGTAGGTTCCGCTCCCATGGGCTCCAACCCCACGCCTCACCTCGCGTCCACTGCTAAGACTTGCTGCCACACCGCGGCCATTCCCTGGCTTCCTTCTACGATGCGTCTGCCTGCGGGAGCCTGCAGGACAAGTGCTTGGAATGCCGGCGTCGCAGGCAGAGGAAATCTAGTTCCGCCCCTTCCACCAGGTGACAGTTGCCATAGACACGAAGTCCCTCCACACAGGTGATGTCGTGAAATCCCACTGGGTCTTTAGCATGGTCATCACCCCAGCCCTGCCTTTCCTGGGCAGCACTCCGATGACTCACAGCAGCAATTCAGACATGACCCCGCCCTCTCCAGTTGCCTCAGCAACGCCCCTCCCCCACCCAGCAAATCTTGTTTGATTCTCCACCCATCAAGCCCTCTGTCCTCTGCCCTCCCTTTTGTGACCCTAGAGCATAGCCCAGGACCCAGGACCACCTCCGGGCCTGCCCCTGGCTCCCGAGGCCCCCGGGGCGGCCCTGAGCCCGGTGTCACCAGTTCCTTCTCTCTTCCCTGTCTCAAGCTCCAGGCAAGATGGCTGCCTGCAGCCAGAAAGAGCTGCGGAGCACAGAGCAAATCGATAGGAACCTTTCCCAGGGCGTGGGAGCCTCGCAGGCGCATTAAAGGATTGTAGTTTCCTGTAAAAGGATAGAGGCTCCACCCCTTGAGTTCTAGTCATTTCCCCCGACACCTTTTTTATACACAGGGGTAAAGCACTGGGGTCAGAGGAACAGGGTGAGTATGTATGTCAAACACTTGCTAAAAATCAGAAACAATGACTTTCTTGTGAAAGTGGTTTCGGCTGCTTCTCAGCAGCACAAATTTGGCCAGGCAAAACTTGAATAAAGTATATGCAGAACCTGACCATACATGCAAGGACTGACTCCTAGAGTATTTACTAGTTCTTAGAGCAGTGGTGAATCCTGGAAACCGATGTGATGAGAAGAATCCGCGTGTGTGTGTTCACTGGGAGTAACTAACTGGACTTGGAATGGTCGCCCCTACGAAACTTTGAAACGAGGGTTTTAAGTAACAAGATGCAATCAGGAAAAACAAGCCTTGGGGGGGTTTGACCCAAGGGAACTACCCACTTCTCTGTAATTCACTTTAAGCTAGAATCTGTACCGCAAATATTCATCTCGGGGTCTAGCATAATGGTTATCCTATAAAGAGTAAGGGGAGCGGGGAGTGTAGCAGGAGGATCATGAGTGTGAATCCAGCCTGGCCTACATACTCAATTCCAGGCCACCCTGGGTTATGTAGTGAGAGCCTGTATCAAAAAGCAAGCAAGCAGGGTGGAGATGTTGCACAGGCCTTTCGCTAGATCCCATGTAAAGGTGAAAGAACCCAGTCCCTGGAGTTGTCTTCTGATGTCCACAGGTGTGCTGTGGCATACACGTAAGGTTTTTTTTTTTTAAACAAATTATTTATTTATTTATTTATTATGTATACAATATTCTTTCTACATGTATGCCTGCAGGCCAGAAGAGGGCACCAGACCTCATTACAGATGGTTGTGAGCCACCATGTGGTTGCCGGGAATTGAACTCAGGACCTTTGGAAGAGCAGGCAATGCTCTTAACCACTGAGCCATCTCTCCAGCCCCCACGTAAGGTTTTTTTTAAAAGCAAGCAAAGAAACTCTAGGTGTAATACAGTTTCTTACTATACTTTAATAGCAGCTGACCCAATTTTCACAACTGACTTTCAGAATAAATACAATCACCTGTCTTAGTTTGGTTTTCTATTGCTGTGTTAAAACACTGACCAAAAGCAGCTTGGGATAGGAAAAAGTTTATTTCACTCTAAAATTCCCAGGTCACTAAGGGAAGTCAGGGCTGAAAAATCAAGCCAGGAACTGAAGCAGAGATCATGAAGGAAGGCTTGCTCCCCAAGGCTTGTTGTAGCCTGCTTCTTTATACAACCCAGGTCCACTGGCCCACAGGTAGCACAGCCCAAATCAATCACTAATCAAGAAAATGCCCTACAGGCCAATCTGATGGAAGCATTTTCTCATTTGAGATTCCCTCTTTTCAAATGACTCTAACTTGTGTCAAGAAGATAAAACAAACAAAAAACTAGCCATCATCTAAGGTTGCCTGAGTGAGGAATAAAAATAGGTGAACCCAGGAAAAATGGATAACTCAGATAAAATTTAAAAATAGGTGAATCCTATTGACAATATCTCCTTAGTCACTGTATCAGTGTTGTAAAATATCCTCTGTAATATAACTACTAAAATACAGCTTTAACAATACTAGAGATACTTCTTGAACAAAGTGCTGGACAATGTTTAAGTAGTTTACATGTATTAATCTAATATTTTTACAGCTCAGGGGATAGGACCCAGGCTGAGCTAGGCGGTGGTGGCAGTGCACGCCTTTAGCCCCAGCACTCGGGAGGCAGAGACTTGGGGGGGGCGGGGGGGGGGCTGGCAATCTGAGTCCAAGGCCAGTCTGGTCTACACTACAGAGCGAATTCCAGGACATACTCCAAAGCTACAAGGAAACCTTGTCTCAAAAAAACAAAAAACAAACAAGCAGACAAAAGATTGGCATTATTTTAGGTTGGTTGGTGTTGGCTCAAGCCTTTAATACCAGTACTCAGGAGGCAGAGGCTGGTGAATCTCAGGGCCAGCCTGGTTTACAGAGCAAGTTTTAGGACAGTTAGGGCTACACAGAAAAACCCTGTTGCTAAAAAAGAAAAATAACCAACCAAACACAGAAACAAAAAGTAGTCCAGGCTGGCCTTCAACTGAGTATGTCCTTGAACTTCCGATCCTGTTTTTTTTTTTTTTTTTTTAACCTCCCTACTGATGGGATTAAAGACTTGCACCACCGTGCCCCAGATCTTTTTTTTTTTTTTTTTTTTTTGAGTCTTAGTCTTCTCAGGCTGGTCTGAACCTTGCAATCTTCCTAAGTATCCAAGATTACATTATTCATCACCACACCCAGCCAATTAAACCTGAATAGAAATGCTGCGAATTGTTACCATTCCTAGTGTATAGAGCAAATATAAAGCATCAGAGAATAGTGGGTGATTCTGCTTAACCGCTCCTCACCTGTGATCCACACTATATTTTCATGTTCTTTTTTATCATAAAGAATGCTATCTATGATCAATGTGTTTTAAATTTCACATTTATTTATTTGGGAGGGGATACCCATACCACAGTGTGGACGTCTGGATGACAGAGTTGTCAGTTCTGGGTTTCGGGGACGAAGCTCTTGTCCTCAGCTTTGACTACAAGGGCCTTTCCAGATTAGATACCACAATCTAATGATAGGATCAGGTGTGACTTGGTCATTAATGCAAAAGGTTAGCTTTTGTGTGAACATTTGCTATTGTTTTAAGCAGCAGTGTAGTTTTTCAAAAGACAGTATAGCATGGGCACTAGGAGAGGCTCTTCTGATCATCTCAGGCAAGTCATACAACCTGTTCGTGACTCAAGTCTCTCCATCTGAAGAAAACCTGTCTCACAGGTATGAGGGTTAGATGAGTCAATACATGTAAAGCTTTGGCTAATATTCGGAATAGATGCTAATTTTTGACTATTTATCATGGTTAGGCTAATTTAAAACTTAAAATTAGCATAAAATATACTAAGCTTTATTACAGCACTTTTAAATATAATTTTTTTTTTGTTTTTCGAGACAGGGTTACTCTGTGGCTTTGGAGCCTGTCCTGGCACTAGCTCTGTAGACCAGGCTGTTCTCGAACTCAGAGATCCGCCTGCCTCTGCCTCCCGAGTGCTGGGATTAAAGGCGTGCGCCACCATCGCCCGGCTTTTTCAAATATAATTTTTCCCCTGGGGGCTAGGAAGATGGCTCAGTGGTCAAGAGTACTGTTGCTCTTGTAGAGTACCTGAGTTCAAATCCCAGCACCCAAATCATGTGGCTCAGTTCCAAAGGAGCCATTGTCACTTCTGGTCTCTCAGGAAACCTGCACACATGTGGTATTCACACCCATAAAGTTAATATATTTTCTTGACTCTTCCTTTTGGCTTCTCCCCTGCTTCCTCCTGTACCCTTCCTTGCCCAGTACCCTTTTCCTTAACAACTCTTCTCCCTCACCCATGGTCCTTTCAGTTTGATCACCTATATTCACATTTTTTTTTCAAGACAGGGTTTCTCTGTGTGAACAGCCCTAGCTACCCTGGAACTATCTTTATAGGCCAGGCTGGCCTCAAACCCAGAGACCCACCTGCTCTTTGACCCCCCCCCCCCGTTTGGTGGAGTTTGCCACCACTGTGCTTCTGTTGTTTTTAATGAAACTTAACTGCACGTGTCAAGGTATTTCAGATATAGAGGTCATATCAATAACAACCACCTCTTACACTTACTCTGCAATATTCAGTTTTTAGGGATCAGAGAGATGGCTGAGCATTTAAGAGTGGGTTTGCTGCTTTACCAAATTAAACTCATGTCAGGCAGCCTATAATCCCCTGGACTCCAGCTCAAGGGAAGCTAATGCCCTCTCCTGGTCTCTACAGGCACTCTCACACACACTTTCTTTCATTAATTCATTCTTTTGTTTTTCGAGGCAGTTTCTCTGTGCAGCCTTGGCTACCCTAGAAGTCACTTTTTAAACCTAACTGCCTCTGCATCCCTAGTAACGAGATTAAAGGCACACCCCCGACCCCGTCTTTTTTTTTTTTTTTTTTTTTTGAGACAGGGTCTATTATGTAGCTCTTGCTATACTGGAATGCATTGGGTGGACCAGGCTGGCCTTCAGAGGTCAGAGATCCCCTGCCTCTGCCTCCTGAGCTTTGGTACTAAAGGTGTGAGCCACCACATCTTTTTTTAAATACTTATTATGTACACAATATTCTGAGTGTATGCCTGCAGGCCAGAAGAGGGCACCAGACCTCATTACAGATGGTTGTGAGCCACCATGTGGTTGCTGGGAATTGAACTCAGGACCTTTGGTTTGGAAGAGCAGTCAGTGCTCTTAACCTCTGAGCCATCTCTCCAGCCCCGAGTAATCACTTTCCTGCCTGTTTGGCCTGCAAAGCTTAAGAATGCAAAGGAAAGCAAGAGGGGAGTGACTGCGTAGTTTTCATGACAATCACTGGCTGAAATTTACTAACTTTAGGGGACAGAGTGGTACATTTGAAGGCAAGCCTACCTAGGTGGCTTGAGAACCATGGAATGGCCCCAAAATGGAAAGAGCAATAGAACTGTGGTGTAATTAGAGATACTCAATTTTTTTTTCAGACCGAGTTTCTGTATAGCCCTGGGTATTTAGAACTTGCTGTGTAGACTAGGCTGGCCCTAAACTCAGATTCATCTGATTTTGCCTCCCAGATCTTGGGATTAAAGGTGTATGCCACTACATCCCACCTAGAGAAGAATTCTCACTCACTAGTTCAGCAGGATTGTTTGGGACACTTTACAAATGTTAGCACATTTTCTTATGATAGGCACCACTCAGTTGTCATCAGTCCAAGCCTTTTTTTTTTTTTTTTTTTGTAGACACATTCTGTGTAGCCCTCTCTGGCCTCAAACTCTATCTACTCTGCACACTCACATACCACGTCCCTATCTAAGATTAAAGGACCTGACCAGCTTGAGCCCTCACTACATTTCTTATGTATCTATCAGTCTTAAGGAGACAAGCATGAAACATAACTCCATCTAGTTATTTGGTAGTGGTGCATGCCTTCAGTCCCAACACCTGTGAGATAGAGGCAGGTGGCTCTTTTGAGTTCGAGGCCCGGATGGTCTACAGAGCTAGTGTCAGGTCAGCTAGGGCTGTTACACAGAGAAACCGTCTCCAAAAATCAAAAAAGGTTATTATAGACCTGTGTACGGCATTTTGCTTGTATGTATGCCATATGCATGAGTGGTGCCTATGAAGTTCAGAAGAGGGCACAAAAATCTGGAAATGAACTCAGTATGTCTACCAGAGCAACAAATGCCTTTAACTCCTTTCACACAAACTTTTGCTGCATAATCCAAGATGGCTCCGATGAATACTGTTGCCTCTCTAGCAGCTAATATTACAATCCACCATCACACTCAGCTGTGCTGCATTTTAAAGATGAGAAAACTGAAGCCTGAAAGGGTTCACTGCTCACAGCCACAGATCAATGAATCAGCACTCTAACCAAATTAGGGCTGGAGAGATGGCTCAGGGGTTAAGAGCACTGGCTGCTCTTCCAGAGGTCCTGAGTTCTGGTGCCCTCTTCTGGCCTGCAGGCACACATGGAAAGAATGTTGTATACATAATAAATAGATCTTAAAAAAAAATTAGACAGTTCCTTATTCTGGACCATCAAAATTACGGGCCTCTGGTAGCCAGCTAGCGGTACTCTCCCTCTGCATATCCCCAGCCCCCTTACATTTGTGTCGTCTGATCTCAGATGCTTGCTCAGTAGTTTAGAATGTACTCTGATTTTCTAAGAAACCAATGTCCTAGGGCTTTCTTCACACTCCTCTTAGGCATTACCCTGGCCTACTTCAGGCTTATTATGTAGCCTGTCATCACAGACTACTGGGATTGAAGGGTGCCAGGCTTGGTTGGATGGCAGGACTTCTGTCATTTTCCTAAAGAAACCAGATGAACATATACATTCATAACCATTTATGTACAGAGGCAAAGAATCTAGTAATTTCATCATACACCATCCCTTAAATTTTATTTTTCGCCCTTTTCCAAATCAAGTGTGCATGTTAGTCATATGCATATATTTTAGGGCTGACAACACAACTCCTGTACTTTAGGATCAGGTTTTTTTAGACAGGTGCTCTCATCAAATTTGTCTAACCCCACCATAGCAACTACAAGGGAAATTTCTAAAGTTTTGAGGTTTAAAAGGCCTGTGAGCTCCCTGTTTGAGTCTAGGAAGCCACGTAGTGCAACTTAAACTGACTAAATTACTCTGCCCTCCATATGTGTATGTTGGCATGGGTGTCCCATCCCCATACAGACAAGTTACAGACCAGTGAGATGGCCTAGCAGGCAAAAGAACTTGCTGCCAAGCTTGATGACCTGGGTTCAATTCCTGAGGCCTACCCACTCCATGTTTTCCAACCTTCATATACATGTCACAGGACACACATACACAAGACAATCAATACATCTGAACCACATAAAAGAACTCACAGGGGAGCTAGGCAGTGGTGGCACATGCCTTTAATCCCAGCAAAGGCAGGCAAAGGCAGGCGGATCCCTTTGAGTAGACCTGGTCTACAGAGTAAGTTCCAGGACAGGATCTAAAGCTACAGAGAAATCCTGTATTGAAAAATCAAAAAACACAACTCACAGGGATGTACACAGAACCTGCCAACAATGCAAGTCTTTGCCATTGTTCTTGGTAAGACCTTTTTGCTGAAGATACCAGGACAGGGAGGAATCTAGTTGGTACTGATCAGAAGGCTCCTCCCTGTTGGTTAGTACTAGAAAGTTTTACACAGGCAGTGGTGGCACAGGCTTTTATCCCAGGACTTGGGAGGCAGAGACCAGCCTGGTCTACAGAGTGAGTTCCAGGACAGTCTCAAAAAAAAAAAAAAAAAAAAAAAAAAA